TGCACAAGCCTACCCTGTGAAGGTGTCCCATATAATTATCAGGCAGTCTGGTCCTTTGTCCGCTGTGGCAACCCACCGCCTGTCTTCACTGATGCAGAGGCAGGAGATGAGGTTGGGGTGGCCCTGTAGAAATGAGGAGAAACTGCTCTGAAGCACCCAGGATGAGCCCAGCCTCATGCACCTCAGAGAAGACTGGGGACCCGCAGAGAGATCTGAGCTCCCTTCAAGGCTCCTCTGGGTAGGAACTTTTCCCGTGGGCCTGCCCATGGTTTCCTCCATCTCCTGGTGGGTTTCTCTGAATTCCTCTTCTCAAACACTCCCCACAGGAACGGTGGCTCCCTGGAGGTGGGGGCATTATCCAACCCCCAACCCAGGTTGAGAAAAAGCTGATGCCTGGGATCTCCCACCCACCCACGGGGCTCCCCGCAGCCCACCTCCTGGGACACAGTTCCCCTCTGGAGAGAGACAATCCTCCTAGTCTTTCTTATGGTCCTAGGGTGGCCCCGCACAACAGAGGCATCCTGCGGAAGCATGTGAACGCCTGAAAGGGCAGCACTCTGCGGGGAAGGCCCTGTGTCCTCCCTCACTCCCTCCTGGCTCTGCACCAGCCACCTGGCCTTCTCTCTGGGCCTCACACATGAGCACGTGGAGCTCCCTCGATTTGGAAAGTTCTTTCCCTTAAACTGTCCCTGTTAGCTCATTCTCATCCCTCAGGTCTCAGCAGAAACAGACTTTCTAAGTCTCTGCCCACCCAATCCAAAATGCAGGCTGCAGTGGCCACGCCCATAATCCCAGGGCTCCTGAGGCTGAGGCAGGAGGTAGCCTCAGCAATTTAGCAAGGCCCTCAGATTGAGTGAGACCCTGTCTCAAAACAAAAAATAAAAAGAACTGCGGGGTTGGAATTGTGGCTCAGTGGTAGAGCACTTGCCTAGCATGTGTGAGGCACTGGGTTCAATTCTCAGCACAGCATAGAAATAAATTAATAAAATAAAGGTCTATCAACAAATAAAAAAATATTTTAAAAAAAAGGACTGGGGATGGGACTGGTAAAGAGTAAAGTGACTGGTAAAGTGGTAAAGAGCCCCTGGGTCCAATCTCCAATACCAAAACATTAATGTTAAAAATAATAAAACAGGGCTGGGGATGTGGCTCAAGTGGTAGCGTGCTCGCCTGGCATGCGTGCGGCCCGGGTTCGATCCTCAGCACCACATACAAAACAAAGATATGTTGTGTCCGCCGATAACAAAAAATAAATATTAAAAGTTTCTCTCTCTCTCTCCCTCTCTCTTAATAATAATAATAATAAAACAGGGGCTGGGGTTGTGGCTCAGTGGTAGAGCATTTGCCTAGCACATGTGAGACACTGGGTTCGGTTCTCAGCACCACATATAAATAAATGAATAAAATAAAGGTCTATTAACTACTTTAAAATAGTTAAATAATAATAATACATTTAAAATTTTTAAATTGGGCTGGGGATGTGGCTCAAGCGGTAGCGCGCCCATCTGGCATGCCTGCGGCCCAGGTTCGATCCTCAGCACCACATACAAACGGAGATGTTGTGTCCGCCCAGAACTAAAAAATAAATATTAAAAATTCTCTCTCTCTCTC